GCCAATTGAGAGCTTGAGAAAGGCGGAGCTGGGAGAGGAGAGGTGGAGCTCGAGATCATGGTGGTCGGGTAAATTAATGTTGATGTTCCGATCTGGGTTTGACAAAATTGGGAACCCTCGAAGTGGAGTAGTACTGTTCATGTTGAATCTATTATAATGATGATCATTACTACTAGTGGAAGCGCCGCCGCAAGATATTGATCGTGAGTAGTAGTTTGGCGGCGGCAGCGGCGGCGCCTGCAACTGGCCGTCGGACCTCACTTGCCGGAGATTGCAAGCGTCTTGGTGCTCTATGAAGCTCTCCACTCTGAATTATGACCAAACAACACGCGAAAAAAATTCTTAAAAACTATATGTAAATGGGAAAATATTACTGTGTAATATTATATATATATAACTACAGTATTGAACAGAAACTATTTATACATACGAATATAACACAAACTTACACATTATTAGCCTATTTTTCTTTTCTTCCTGCCAAATTATACATGTTGAACTTCCCAAGAAAACAAAAGGTGGGTTTTGTTCAAAAAGCCAAATTTCATAAAATTTTGGAGGAAGAATTGGAAAATTTTCATTCCCAAACAACTACTTAATTAAACTCTCCTCATGATCATTCATATCACGATATTCGAATATAAACAATCGATAGAATTAAAATTAATATTAGATATATTTTATATATGAATTAAATTTATCGAATTCTTCGATCTAAAATTATCATTCTAAACCAAAAACTAAAACGGTTAAGTTAATAAATGGGATAAATTTAATTTATACATCAGATGTTTAACGAAGGTGAGATTACGGGGTGCGTAGAGGAGGGAGGAGAGAGAGGGGACCTGGAAAAGACACGACCGCAGTCACAAGAGTGGCCACGGGTGCCACAAGTTTTGAGGTGAGCTTTGAAGTCAGAGTGGACGGCGTAGGCTTTGGAGCACTTGTGGCAGACCCACTGCTTCTGGTTGCTGTGCTTTCTCCGGAAGTGCTTCTTGATCCCGACGAGGTCCCCGAGGGCGTGGCAAGGGTCGTGGTGGAGGCAGCTCGGCTCCGGGCACACGAACACCTTCTTCCTCGCCGCCTCCGCTGCCTCCGCCGCCGGCCTCTTCAGCAGCTTCCACGGCACCTTGTGGCGCCGCCGGTGCATCTGCAGATTCTGCTCCCTCTGGAACCCCTGGTTGCATATCTCGCACACGTACCGATCCGACTCCAGCAGCGTCTTCGGCGATAGCGACACCACTTCCGCATCCGGATCTGCCCAAATTCCCATTATTATTTCCAATTCTTATTCTCATTATTATTGTTTTGTATTAATTCTGAATATGTTTAGTTTACCTGGAGTCCCCGCGGGTCTTCTTTTTCTTTTGCTGGTGACCCCATTATTCTCAGAATTGGAGCCCAAAAACGCAGCTTCTTGATCGCCACCGCCGCTGCCACAACACCCTTTCAGCATCTTCTTCTTCTTCTAACTTCTGGGTTTTGGGGGAGTTCTTGGATTCATATATTGGGGATGAGGAGAAGAGGGTTTTAGTAGTAGGGCAAAAATTTGTGTTTTTTTTTGTTTTTTTGGTGTCTCTCTCTCTTTCCCTCTTTGTATTTGT